AAGCTGTGGTCCAGCAGAACCGATATCAAGAGTTCTGTGCCTTCAGTTTTTTTCAGACACTGGCGTAGGGTGCTAAGGTCTACCTTGAGACCTTACATACTTTTCTTATGTTTTCCACAGTTCTCCCAAATCCCCTTATCCCCGTTCCCTGGTATATCACCATACCCTAAAAATAAGTCAAGGGTAACCCAGGGTGCAGAATCCCCATTATTCCCTATTTCTGCAACTGGACCCCAGATGTGCAGCAGTTCATTAGAATGTATCTTATTGTTTTTACCCCATCACCAAATGGCTAACAGTCAGCATGTCCCTGACATGAAGGCTGAGCGTCTTTCCTGCCCAGTGTCGCCCCTGGCATATTATCATAGGTTGCTAAACTCCAGACCTGGAGTTGCACTGGACTTGACAAAGCCAGCTTGAACAAAGTGATCACAGTGTCCTGTAGAAGTCACATGGTGACAAACAACCAATGGATCTCCAAAACCCAAGAGCTCCCCGCAGTCTTGATTGTAATGGACAGGAGGTCAGGACTGATTGAACAACTTGCTACACGGTTATAGGTTATATAGCAACCTCCAAATTGCCTGATTTGAAAATACATCTCAGGGTACCTTTCTCAAAATCAGTTTTGCAGCTCCAAGAGAATCCCTGAAGCAGGATAGTTGGTAAAGGGCAGAATGAACTTCTGCACAGCGGTGGACTCCCTTAAGCTCGAGCTCATTGTCTGTGCAGTCCTGCAACCTCTACAGGGGATGCTGTGCGAGAAGTCCTTTTTGTAAACGCCTTAGTCATATTCATGAGGCTTTAATTTGTGAGTGCTCAAGCCCTCAAGACTGCCACACTGTCACCATCTGAATTTTTGGAGGGGCACGTTCAAATCACAGCCCCCTCAAAGCCTTTCTGACAGTCAGAGTTTGACTCCATGGCACCCTAATTTGAGCCTTTCGGCGCAGGAACTCTCTTGCCATGCCACTAACCCCGCTGTAGCTACAGGAAGCAGAGCGACAGAACAGCCATAAGACGACAACAGACACTAACTAAGGGCTCATGTAGGGTCCCGTTGTCACATATTTGGATTGCAGAAGATTTAGGAAGGTAAATCTCTTTGTGAAACGATGCCACACATATCCAAGACTCTCTTAAAGAACATGAAATCAAAGACACATGCCAATGGCATGCCAGTGTGCATATCTCCCTCTGACAGAATAAGTACTAAAATGTTAAGAAACAGGGAGATGAACAGTTAGACATTCTGAGGCAGGGGCTTGATGTTCACTTCTTATCCCAAATGCTGCAAAAAAGTAATGCTATTAAATGAGACTCCAACATAAACGTCAGTGCCTACGAGACGCCCTGAACACAGAGATAACTACCACTTCCCTCAGATTTTAGAGAGAAATACTAAGTCCTGCAGACAATACACTATGTAGGCAGACTCTACAGAAGTACAGAGCTGTCAGAGCAACACCAGATGTCCTAAGTGTTAAACCTCAATTTCTCCTTTTGTTGGGTAGGTGATTTTGCCTTCAAGTCACCTGTCAAATTGATGGTGGACTTTTCTTCCATCTGCATCTAAGAAGGGCCTTGGCAGACATGCACAGCAAGTTTCTTATTGACAGAGGAGCAAGCTATTTCTCAAGGAGCCTAAGGGTCTCATTGTAGACCTTACAGAGCCTCATGCTTCAGTCACCTGCCTCACCTTAGGTTTTACACCACAGCTACCTGCAAGCTTTCCATCCTGTAGGGCTTTATTATTTCTTTAAACACTGTTACCGTATGAACATGAAATGTCCCCATGGCCTCGTTTGTCTGAATACTTAGTCCCCAGTGAGTGGTGCTGTCTTTGGAAGGTTGTGGAGCCTTTAGGAGGCAGAGTCAGGCTGGAAGCAGGGGGTAATTGGGGGAGGGCCTTAAGACTTTACAGCCTGAGCCTGCTTCCTGAATACTCCATGCTTCTTGTCCACTAACATGTGATCTGAGGAGCATCCACCTCCCGCGGATCTGCCTCCTACCATGCTTCTTCCTCCAGGGTAGACTATATTCTCTAAAAACTTGCAAGCACAAATAAACCCACAAGTTGCTTCTTGTAAAGTATCTGGTCATAGCAACAGGAGAAGAAACTAGTATACCCACAAGGAGCCCCATCCTGGCCTTGCTAGTCCAGCGGCAGGCAGATTTGCTGACTTCATTTAAAATCCCCTGAGCACACACAACATTCCTGTTTAACTTAATTTCCCATGCAGTTTTGCTAAATGGCTCCAACTTTGGACCACCAAAGTATACATCAGACAAAATCATTTTCTCTCCAGTTATGTTTAGAAATGCAAATATGTTGTTTAAAATATATTACTCCCAGCGGAGTTCTTATTACTGCTCAGACTCAGTGTAGAGAACAGGTCTCAAGTGGGCTTTTCCTAGTTGCTTCTCTCATTCTGAATGGGTGTAAATGAAGGAAAAGTGAGCCAGGATGGAGAAGATCAAGTATGATTCAGTCCACCCACCTCTCTGCAGCAAGAACCACAATCGACAACTCCAGCTCATTCCTGCAGTGACAGAAATGGCGCTCAGTTCTGAGGCAACACTCTTCAATTTCTTCCTTGTGTTGAACTTAAATTCTACTTCCTGCATCTTCCTCTGACTTGTAGACTCCTCCCAAATGCCTCACTTCCTATGACTATCAAAGATGGCCCCATATTGCTTAGCTATGGATAACAATTTAAAAATTAAATAACATGAGCTCTTCATAACTATCAGTTACACACAAATATATTCAAAGCATCTTGTCTTCATTTATATAGCCCATGAGAATAACTGTCTAGACTTATACCAAATTCCGAAGCTACATGTGAATTGGTTGCCCTGGGAATATCATTTGTGTTTTATACATGGACCCAATACCAGGCAGCTGGGCGAGAGGACCCCTAACAGATAGCCAGCGAGGTATCAGAGCAAACAAACCGGGGTTAGTGCCCCTGCTGGCTGAGAAAGACTGCCTTTACATAGCAAGACCAGATAAAGCAAGGCAGATGGAGATTTCAAAAACGAAGGCAGATTGAAAATCAAAAGGGCAAACTTTCGAAGCTGCAGGCATTGATTTGTAATCAAGCTCTTTTCAGATTACTTTGTGTGTGGGCAGCAATCTATAGCGTACTCAAGGGAGCGTAGCAGAACAGTGGTTTCTTTAAAATGAGGTTTAATGATCCCCCAAGGGTCAGTGAATAAAATAATATACGGAGAAGCAGCTCTTAAGCTCTGAAGCATCATCAAATGTGATGCTGCCTCGTCCCAACCTGAACTCCTCCTGAATGCCAGCATGTGCTTATCAGCACACTTGTTTGTGGCTAGACATGCCCTGTCTTTTTTGTATCTCAGATATATGAGTTACAAAAATCCTCTCAGCAAAAGATGGATCATGTAAATGATTTCTTTACGTGGCTCTAAGTATATGAAAAATGGTTCTACATTAAAATTTCATGAAGTCATGGCTCAAATATAAAATTAAAAAAAATACCACAAGATATCCAAGTGCATAAAGAAAACAAGAAAAATAGCAGAGGGTTGTGTGTGTGTGTGTGTGTGTGTGTGTGCGCGCACGCGAGTGCATGCATATGTGCATACTCACATGCATGGGTGCTCTTGTATGTGTAGGTGCATGTATGCATGCATGTAGAAGCCAGGGTCTTTTATGGGCCTGGAATGTGCCAAGCAGTCTCGGTCAGCTGACTAGTGAGCCTCAGTTACATTCCTGTCTCTGTCTCCCCAGAACTGGGATTATAGGTGTGCACTGCCACACCTGGCTTTGTGCGTGGTGGTGAGGGGTCCTGAAGGATTGAACTTGGCTCCTAACACTTCCACTGCAAACACTTGACCATTTTGGCTGTCACCCCTGCCTGGAAGAAGTTCTGACTGATGGGGCAATGGTATGGTCTCCTGACAGAAGAGGTGACAGGTAAGAAGACACAGCTCTATTTCTGGCCATGTTGAAGAAGATTCTATCCAGAGGCCAAACAATGGAATTACATGCCCTCAAAGACTTCGCTCAATTTAGTAGAAGTTTTGGAACCAGTAATAATGCATCAATTAACAAGATACCAACGAGTCTTCCAAGGAGGTAAGGAGAATGTCTCCTAAAGAATCAGACACAGACACAATCAGTCCCATGAAAAGACTGGCACCCATGAAAAGAGTCAGCCACTCCTCCCATTTCCCTCAGCTATGTCCGACACGCAACACTGCAATTAGGGATGTACACTCAAGCCTCAGTCTTCTCGGGTTCAAATCCCGCCTCTGTCTCCTGGGATCTGTAGTACCAGCCTTCCCCTTGATCAACATGTACTTCCTTTCCCTTATCTCCTAACGGGTTCTGCTGAACACACAGGTACATGCAACATGTCCCCTACAGGGTCTGCACATGTGAATGCTTTTCTCTGTCCTTTCGTCTGGGTTTCCTAGCACAGCCCAGTTCCGAGAAGGGTTTCGGGTAAAAGACACAATGAAATTACTTGTTTGAGAGTTTTATATCTATGCTTTATCTTTTTTCTTTTGTGTTTTGGGGGTGTATGATAATGTGTACATGAGAGTTTGCATGTGGAAACCAGAGGATGACAATGGGTGTCTTTTGTGTTTTGGGGGTGTATGATAATGTGTACATGAGAGTTTGCATGTGGAAACCAGAGGATGACAATGGGTGTCTTCCTCGATTGTTCACCACCTGATTTTTTCATGCAAGGTCTTTTACTAAAACTGTGAGCTGCCTTTCTGGGAGTCCTCATGCTTTCCAGACAAGTGCTTTACCTTCCCAAGCATGAAGTTTTACCTTCTTCTAACACAGAACAGCTAATTGTATTTAGTGCAGTTTCCAAGAGAAAGAGGGGAGAAAAAAAGTGCGCCTGAAAAAGCAAACTGGTGTCTCCTTCATAAAGCTAGCCACCAGTCATCCTAGAGACGAAGTGTTTTCTCAGTCCCCACTCTACAACCCCAAAATCTCAAAGCATGCCAACCTTCTATGAAGTCCGCAGCTGTGTAAGGACGCTGGTGTGGGCTGCTCTCCACGGGGCTGTTCAGACTGTCCAGGGCCGATTCGACCGCTTCCACCAACTCATCACGCTTGTCCTTCCTGACCGGCTTCTCCTCAGGGTGGCGGGTCAGGCCAGTCTCCAGCTGGTACACTTTCTGTAGGGTGAAGCTATCGAAAGGCACGGCAGCATACTCGGTGGCCAGTTTAACACCTGCATGGACCTCGGCCTTGTCCACCTGCCCACGCAGGAAGGCCAGCAGATCGGCCTGGGCTCTTGGTGCAGGGTCCCAGCCTGAGCGCAGGCTGGTAGCATCGCTGGCCTGGTCCTGCCCGCTGCGGAGCTGCTCACTGCGTGCCTGCAGTTCATCCTTGAGCTGCGCTATCTGTCGCTTAAGGCTGTTCACGTAGTTGCGATGCTGTTCCTCACGCTCTTGCAGCACAGCTTGGTAGCCATCTTTGCCCGTGGGGCCATTGGCCCGTGGCAGTCCCAGCTGCTCCTGGTCGCCTTTTGGGGTGCAGGCTAACATGTAGAGGACAGAGATGGCACAGCAGAGCAGAACCAGCAGAATCACTACCCGAGAAATCCACCCTAGCAGCCCACGACGGACCATCCTCATTCAGGTGCAGGCCATGCGTCCAGCGTGTGCAGCATCCCAGGGCACCGGGAAGGCCCCACACAAGGGCTTTCCTGGTTAGACCGCAGTGCCTCTGATGTCCCCTGGACCAATTTCATCCATTTCCTTCTAGAAGGCGGCCTGCCTTTGGAAGTCAACCATTACATAAGACGGCTCTCCTGATTCCAAAAGAAGATCTTCTAGGCAGAAACAATCGATTAAGTGGATCCTCCAAGTTCTTTCATTTGCTCCCATCATAGCCTTCCTGCTGTGCCGAAGACGAGGGGGTCCTGAGGAGACACAAAAGACAGGGGCCCTTAGTGTTTCCATTCACACTGGAACTTCGAGTCAGGACCCGTTTTCACCTGATCCAAAGTATGTAGGTAAACAAAATAATCACCCAAGTCAAATATTTAGCTACCGCAAATCATACATTTATTTTAATGCAATTCTTTCATATTTATATAATTTCAACGTTTACAGCTGAGTAAGCAAATGTACATATTACTGAGGGGGCTGCGGTTACCTGACATAATTCAACCTCAGCTGAGTATCTGATCCTGCAGGATGGGAACTCACCTTCCTCATTTTGCAGAATTGATTGGTATTTTGATTCTGTAATCACTGATGCTAAGAAAAGCACTTTGCATAAATATGTAATGAAAAACAGTAGACGTCCATTTAAAGATTTTTCAGAAATTATTGAAAACGCTGCCCTGATCCCAAGTCAACATTTCTTTGGCCATTACTTTATGAAGCTTTAGTGGAAAGCTCACATAGAAATTATTTAAAACAATTATCTCAACACAATCAAATCGAAGATACACTAATTTGATACATTCTGAGGAACAACAGAAGGAAAATACTAGAAGTCTTTGTCTACTATAATCAAGCCATTATGTGTCCACAAGAGTGGAAAATTTTGCAAATGCAATAATAAATACACTGCCTTTCACAACATCACTCTGGGCTGAGGTGTTCACTGTTGGTGTGTGGTGCAACAGTCCGTGCGGTGTAAAGTGGGCGTGCTTTATCTTGAGAATCAAGGCTTCCACAAAGTCTCCCAGTGCAGCTTGGGTGAGTACTGCAGGAAAAACGTGGTCTCACTGGGCATTTGACTTCTAAGTAATTTTGGTCACTGTGTGTTCAGAAACCTTACAGTTGTTGAAATTTTCATGAACTCTACATTCAGTTACATGAAGTACCTTAAGACACTGAGGGCTCATTCACTACGGCAATCAATAGGCAATTGGTTGACTATTTATGAAAGATTTATGGAAATTGTTTATGGTAGATATTAAGTGTAAGCATGTTTGTAAATCAAAACACAAAGTGTTTCAAAGGAAACTTGAGAAGACAACCGGGAAGAACTATTAAATGCAAGCAGTACTTCTGTTGAGAATCGAGACTTTTTTTTATTTCTATTTTTTTATATGTTGTAATTCTTCATGATGACATGTATTTTAGTGCTAAAAGCAAAACTTTGATGACACTGAATTACTGGCAGCTGACTTTTCTACCGATGCTGTCAAGCAAAAAGATGATGGCAGGCATGGGTGTGTCTACCTGTATGCTTTCCTCTGAGGCATGATCAATGGCCATCAGAATGGACATCGAGTTTTCGGGACTGGTAAAGAAGTATCCACCCACAAGTTCAAATATGCAAAAATATGTACTAATGGCAACACAGCTGGAAGGATCTGTGACAGTTGTCCAACCAAATGTACAATCATTCCTGCATCCCTTACCAAAGAAAGAGATGGGTTAGGAGAACAGAGATGAGATGCTGTCTTTTCAGGACTCAGATTCTTGGCATGCCTCTTCTGCCCAAATGAGGACTTCTGTGTCTTGCTTAGTCATTGGCAAAATTCCTAGAGTGACTACACCCAACACCCAACCCTTGTAATAAAGGAGGAGCAAGCCAGACACACCATCTCTATGTCTGCAAGGCCCCCTTTCTCCTTCTTCTCAGACAGCATCTCTTGACATGCTAGTTTTGAACTCCTCTCTCTTTTTAAATCATCTTCATTATTATGACCATAAATTAATTAATGAATCAATAAAATAGATGAAACAAATATTTTGTTTAGGGATATTTTTTATAAAAACCTTTCTGTGTGTATCTTTACACACCACGTCTCCTAAAAATCAAGGAGGACCTGCACTTTGCCATTTTATGAAAATGACATTTTAAGTAATCCCTATAATGATGAAATTATTTTTACAGTATCCTTGCTCAACCTCGGAAATCTAGGGTCTTGGCCAATAACCACATCCTTTCCTTGTGTTGTGTGGCCCAATCTTGAAGGGAAGAAAGATCCAGACAAATTGCGCCTCCAGATCTCTGGTCGGGAGAGGAGGTTCCAAGTCACTCTCTGCACTCAGGACATGGTACTGATGCAGGCTCACTGTTCCGAATGCATCTTGCACCTGCTGCTTTGGATGCTCACACCCGAAAGGTCCTCTCCCACTGCCCAAGAGACAAGCCTCTTACTAATGTCCCCACTCCACCAAAATTGTTCATTACACCACTTTCTGTAAGAATTTACTATATAATGTTTTCTCTCTGATATATTCTCTAGTGTTTCTCTGGACCCAAGGAGTCTCTCAGCTATAATTTAGAACAATGCATAGTTATTAGTACCAGGATTAAAATGTAGGCTTGCCCTTGAAAGCCTCTTATGTCCGATGAAAATCTTGTATAACATTTGTATAATTACTATAATTCTGTGATTAAAACCATCTTGGTTTTGATGTTCAGGCACCTTGCTGTTTTTAATGAAATCTCTCAGACAAGCTCATTACAGCCAAGTATTAAATTATCAGTGAGGACATGTTATCACATTATTCTGCCATTTAAAAGACTTTTATTTTAAATATGTTGTCATTAAAGACAAAATAAGAAAATCAAAAAAAACAAAGAAATGGAACATTCAACATAATTTATTGTGCTGTGAGAACTAAAGAGATGCAATCATGCTAACAAATTTTAATGGAATAAATGTTATATTTGCATAATGGATTGAAGCCATGTTGGTATAACTGGAGCCACTCATTAAGACTACAGTTAGGACAATTAAAACTAGGGCAGTGGTGATACACGCCTTTAATCCTAGCATGACGGAGGCAGAGGCAGGCAGATGTCTGAGGTTGACTCCAGCATAGTCTATAGTCAGTTCCAGGACAGCCAGGGCTATGTAGAGAGACCCTGTCTCAAGCAACAAAAAAAAAGATTAGCAGAAAATTAAAACTACAGGCTACCTGTTATACTCATAAGTCCTTTGCTGACCAGTACCAGAGGTTGTGGTGAGATGACTTAGCGAGTAAAGGCACCTTCCTCCAAGTCTGTCCCTGATTTTGATGCCTGGGACCCATATGGTAGAATAAGGAAATCAACTTTCATATATATATATATATATATATATATATATATATATATATATGAACATATATATACATACACAAGTAAACTATGTTTTAGAGTCTAGTTACTGAGGCTTTGGAAATTCATTAGGTTACTTGAACTCCATTCATCAGAGAAAAAGAGGAAAAGGCGGCAATAAAACCAAGATATTTTGTGAAACAAAAGACTTTTTCAGTTTTCATCAACAGGCAAAGTAACAGGTTTAGCTGCAGTATTTTCATGCACACTTGACTGGTTTCCCCCAGTCATTCATCTCATCAACTTTCAGCTCCTCTCCCCACTGTGGCTTTCAGTGTCCTCTATAGTAACACACACATGTGCTCATCACCAGTGTCCTCTATAGTAACACACACATGTGCTCATCACCAGTGTCCTCTATAGTAACACACACATGTGTTCATCACCAGTGTCCTCTATAGTAACACACACATGTGTTCATCACCAGTGTCCTCTACAGTAACACACACATGTGTTCATCACCAGTGTCCTCTATAGTAACACACACATGTGTTCATCACCAGTGTCCTCTATAGTAACACACACATGTGTTCATCACCAGTGTCCCCTATAGTAACACACATGTGCTCATCACCAGTGTCCTCTATAGTAACACACACATGTGTTCATCACCAGTGTCCCCTATAGTAACACACTCATGTGCTCATCACCAGTGTCCTCTATAGTAACACACACATGTGTTCATCACCAGTGTCCTCTCCAGTAACACACACATGTGCTCATCACCAGTGTCCCCTATAGTAACACACACATGTGTTCATCACCAGTGTCCCCTATAGTAACACACTCATGTGCTCATCACCAGTGTCCTCTCCAGTATACACACATGTGCTCATCACCAGTGTCCTCTCCAGTAACACACACACATGTGCTCATCACCAGTGTCCCCTATTGTAACACACACATGTGCTCATCACCAGTGTCCCCTATAGTAACACACACATGTGTTCATCACCAGTGTCCCCTATAGTAACACACACATGTGCTCATCACCAGTGTCCTCTATAGTAACACACACATGTGCTCATCACCAGTGTCCCCTCCCGTAACACACACATGTGTTCATCACCAGTGTCCCCTCCAGTAACACACACATGTGCTTCCTCACCAGTGTCCCCTCCCGTAACACACACATGTGTTCATCACCAGTGTCCCCTCCAGTAACACACACATGTGCTTCCTCACCAGTGTCCCCTCCAGTAACACACACATGTGCTCTTTCCTTCTCTCCCCCTTCATCGAAACCTCTTTTTACATGGCTACACTACCAAAATTAATGTACAGATTCAATTTCTATCAAAATTCAAATGACATTTCTCATAGAATTAGTGTGGGGGAGGGGAACATCCTAAACTTCGTATGGAAACACAGAGATCATAGATGGCCAAGGAATCCCATGCAAAAAGAATGGTGCCAGAGTTACCGGAACATGTGACTTCAAACTATAGCATAGAGTCATCATGACAATGACAGCCTGATACTGTCATTAGCACAGACATGCAGACTGTGGAACGTAAATTGGACCCAGAAATGAGCCCTCATAGCTACGGATACCAAATTTTTGACAAAATTGTCACTGGAAACACCCATCTTATTTAATAAATGATGCTTTAAAAACCAGATACTGACATGAAGAAGAAAGATGGTATCAGTATGGTATCTCTCACCTATCTGATGGAGGAAGGTCATTGGCTAATAAAGAAACTGCTTGGCCCTGATAGGTTAGAACATAGGTGGGTGGAGTAAACAGAACAGAATGCTGGGAGGAAGAGGAAGTGAGCTCAGACTCGATAGCTCTCCTCTCTGGGGCAGACGCGATGAAGCTCTGACCCAGGATGGATGTAGGCT